TGAACCCAGTGTTTTTCCAAAGCCTATCACTTTTGTGAAATGCAGTTTAAGACTTCCTATGAGGGCCAGATGGTGGCACAGTAGTAACACAATTGGATCCATATGGAGAGGTCCTGGGTTCATATCCTGGGGCCTCTAAGTATAAACCAATTGTGTGTATGTGTCGCTGATCTGGAATAGCTGAGGCTGAGGGATAGATTTCAGCGAAAGATCCTGTTGGGGGTGTTTCTCTCCTCTCACTCTCTCTTTCTCCCTTTGTCATGAAATGAATGAATGAATGCTGTGTGGTAGGCAGAATTTTATAAATGCTACCCCTTTGGCCCCATCCAAGAGTCTCCTCTTTTGGTTATTCAAATACTAACGTGGGTACTGCCATGGAGGAATGGTGCAGATGTAATTAAAGTTCTCAATGAATGGATCTTAAAATAGGGACTTTATGTGGATAGCCTGACCCAATCCGGTGGGCTATTGATTGACAGAGTGAGGATCTGATGCTCCCTTTCTTGCTTTGAAAGTGAAGGGGACCCCACAAGAAGGTGGGCAGCCTGGAGAAGCAGAGAGCAACCCCTCGTTGGCACCCAGCAAAGGAACGGGATGTCAGACCACAAGGAGCATGGAATCAGATTCTTCTCAGAGCCTCTGATAAGAGCCCTGCTTGCTGACATCTTGATTTTGGGCTTGTGAGACCGAGCAGAGAACTCAGAGGATGCCACCGGGTCTTCAGACCTACAGAACTCGGAGACAAATGGGTATCGTTTTAAGCCACTAAGTTTGTGGTAATTCATTGCACAGCAATAGAAAACTTACACACAGATTCAGAAAAATCAAAGCAGAATTACTCATACTACACTCTTCCCTACTATTTTACACTTATAAGATGTTTTAAATGTAGCAAAACACTTTCATCCTTCAGGTCCTACCAGCAGTGCTTAGATATGAGCAGGGCAGGTTTGTCCGTTTCCCCCTTTCCCCAGGGTCCAGGATTTGAACTGCTCAGTCAGCCATGTAAGATCCAGCCACCTTAACCACCATGCTTCCGGTGGGGGGTGGGGGGGGGTCATACTTGTGTCTCCATTTTTTCAGATGAGAGAGAGTAAGTGACTTAGAATAAGTGCCCAAGACACCCAGTGGAAGGAGGAAAGGAAATACAACTTTTTTGGTTTATGTGACTTACGATGGGGTGGGGGCAGTTTCCTTTACACACTTTTGCATTCGATTAGGAAAAACATGACCATCTGTAGGGATAGAAATGGAGGATGTAAAAGAAATTCAGACAAAGACAGACACATCAGGCAAAGGGATCCCACTGCTTCATCAGAGAGGTCCTTTCTTTCATCTCTTGTGCCTGATCAGAAAAGACTGTTAGAGAAAGGGCCCAGAACTGCCTGCCAGAGACAACGCGTGGGGGCAGGGCCTGACGGGGCTGCCGGAAGTGGACCCGCTGCGATCTTTATTTGGATGACCAGGAGCAAAGACACACAGGCCGGCAATATCCAGAGGAGCGATGTCTGCAGGCTGCCCTCCCAGCTGGCTGGCTTGCAGAAGGGGGAGGGCCTGCTCCATCAGTCGGCTCTGCCTGTTTCTGCCACTAGTGTTCCTACCTGTGCCACACCCCTTTAGGGCCCCTAACTTAGTATCAGGGAGCAGAGATGTCTCCTAGGAATAACCATTCTCCCAGCCCCCGATAGAAGTGGAGATTGGCTTTTAGAAAATGGATGGGACTTCCTCAAGGTCATAGACAAGGACCTCCCATCACACACACACACGCACACACGCACACACACACACGTGTGTCCTTAGCTGTATTATCATGGCAATTCTCCATGTTAGTTTAAGGCAACTTTCTGATGAGCTGGAGCTCCTTACCAAGCAAGCATGTGTGCATTTGTTTTGTGTCCAGTATGAGTGAGAGTTGTTTTTTTTCCCCCTTTCAGGTCTTTGCGATAAGGTGTGTGTACTCCCCAGAGAGAGATGAGGGAGATCAGGTCTTTGCAATAGGGTGTGTGTACCCCTTCCCCCTAGAGAGAGACGAAAGGAGACAGAGAGACAGAAAGAGAGAAATCACCTCCCAGGGGGAATGGCCATGTCGCAATCCCCTCTCCTCCATTCTCCTCTAGGGATTTTAGGCATGCACACACATGTGCTCGGCATGATTTTCAAGCTGCCAGGTCCAGTTCTCGAACTGCAGTCGGCCATGTCAGACTTCAGGGCCTTGACCACCATGCCACCTGCTGACCCCACAAGTCTGTGTTTACTGTTGTCCTGATACTAATAGTTTATACTGGGCAGTGTCTTGAAAATGCCCTGAGCTAACTCAGTTTTCATGGCAAGCCCATGAGATAAGGGGGAAGTGTTTCTGACCAGAAGTGGGATATGGGTTTAGTAAGGCCTAAAGCTTTTCCTATTTAGGGATAATTCTTTCAGGAAAGGAATATTGGAGGATAAATAAAAATTAGGTATAGACCTTGGAAGGAGCCCATGGAAGAGAAGGGCTCTGAAGCCTCACAGTAAAACCATTAGTTGGATATTATTTTTAAAAGAATTATTGGGACCAGCAGTTAGCGTAATGGCTATGTCTCTGGACTCCCATGTAGTCAACTGCGGCTCAAGTCCCGGACCCAGTGGCTTAAACTCACACTGGGTGCGTGTGCGTGCGTGCCCAAGATCTCAAGAGGAGAATGGAGGAGAAGGGATTGCGGTGTGGCCATCCCACCTGGGGGGTGATTTCTTGCTTTCTGTCTCTCTTTCTCTCTCTGTCTGTTTGGCGAGCGCACGTGCCCTATAGCAAAAACCTCTCCAGAGGAAAAATAAAAAGAATTATTTACTGGGACCAGCAGTTGGCATAATGGCTATGTCGCCGGACTCCCATGTAGTCAACTGCGGCTCAAGTCCCGGACCCAGTGGCTTAAACTCACACTGGGTGCGTGTGCGTGCGTGCCCAAGATCTCAAGAGGAGAATGGAGGAGAAGGGATTGAGGTGTGGCCATCCCCCCTGGGGGGTGTTTCTCGCTTTCTATCTCTCTTTCTTTGTCTTTCTGGTGAGCACACGTGCCCTATAGCAAAAACCTCTCTTTCTCAAAAAAAAAAAAAAAAGAACTATTTATTTAATTTTATTATTATTATTATTACTATTATTATTTTAATTTGCTATAGGGCATGTGCACGAGAGAAAGAGAGAGAGAGAGAGAGAGAGCCATGAGGTCCAGAGAGAAAGTGAGAAAGCAAGCCACAAGGTCCAGGACTCAAACCACAGTCAGCCACGTGGGAAGTCCAGTACCTCAACCACCATGCCCCCTCCTGGCCCCTTGGACATCGTTTTTTGAAATCACAGCACATCTCATCTAATGATGTCGGTAAGTGACTCTTCTTGTTCCATCTTCCATAGGAGAAAACTGAGACACAGAGAGGTTTAGCAGTGTTCCCGGGATCACACAGCTAGTTAGTGGTAGGACTGAGATAAAGGACTCGGTGTTTCACATTCCCAGTGACATTAGGGAGTGGCAAGGACTTTAGCAAACCGAAGCTATCGGTCCCACCTGTAGACTGCTAACAGCTCCAGCTGATGCCTGGGTGCCGGTTGTTGGTAAGTCCTCAGAGTTTTTAAAAGACAGAGGTCATAAATCCAGAGTTTTCATGTGACCTCCCCTGATTGCTATGCAGAGGCGCTTGACTGAAGTCTTTTTCTTCTTTTCGAACACCATGAGGCTAAGACATGGTGAACTAGATTTGGTTCATCTGCCTGACCTATTATAACATCTGACTTCTTGTTAAGAAAAACAAAACAGAAAGTTGAATACAAGCCAGTAATAAATCTGCACTAAGCGATGTGGCTCTGGCAGAGAAGGGCAAGTTGGGATTAGGCACAGCAGCCAGAGAAGGTTTTACTTCATTATTTTATTTATTTTTTAAACAGGTTGTTGCTGCAGGTATGTGTGCATTTGCTGGAGGGAGACGGTGAGAGGGAAAGTGAGAAATCATCCCCCCGAGGGGGTGGGGCAGAGGTGGCCATGCCATAATACAGTCTCTATTTTTCTTCTTCTGGGATTTGGGGTATGCATGCACACATGCCTGGCATGAGTTTCAAGCTGCCAGATCTGGTATTCAAACTGCGCTTGGCCATGTAGGAGTCCGGCACCTCAACCACCATGCCCTCTGCTGGCCACTAGAGAAGGTTTTAAGTGGGCTGTGGGGCTGCAGTGAGGTGCCCAGTGTCCAGAGAGTTCACGCAATAAGAGGACAGAGTCAGTGATTTTCCTGGTAGGGGGGAGGGGTCGAGTTACACATGTTCTCAATGATCTGGTCATGTCAAAAATGTTAAGGTTTTTCAGGTTTTAATCTAAGACCGTCATCCTCCTGCGCAGATACTCCTTGAGGAAACACTGACAGTCCTATCTCATCTGCATCTGGAAGCTTTCCTGCCCTCATGCACTTGTGGGATTGAGCAGGGAGCGGCTGAATGTCAGCTAGCCCAAGAGCGAAGGGGCTGTCTCGGAACAAGGCTGGAGCTCTCCCTGGACCCAAGGGAGCCATTCCTTGATAAATCCATGATGATGACAACATGGTTCTAGCTGCTGCATCTCGTCTTTACCTGTTTGTCTGTGACCTTGGCTCATTCTTGGGAAGCGTGAGCAGGGAACAGTGAAGAAGGTTATGAGCTCATGGCCTTAACAGTAAGACTCTAACAAAGAAAGTCTTAGTCCAGTGAGAACTGCGAGTGTCCAGAACATCAGCCTCATGCATTAACCCAGAAGCTCCCAAAGCGTAGAGAGTGTCTGGAAAAATCCTAAGCACAAATGGGCTGGAGCTGGAAGGTGGCATGGTGGTTAAGACACTGAACTCCTACATGGCCAAACGCTGTTTGAGTCCTGGACCTGGGAGGCTTGAAAATCACACCAGGCGCATGTGTGTGCATGCCCAAAATCGCAAAAGGAAACTGGAGGAGAAGGGATTGCAGTATGACCATCCCCCCAGGGGATGATTTCTCACTTTCCCCCTCTCTGTCTCTCTGGCAAGCGCATATGCCCTATGGCAAAACTCTCTCTTTAAAAAAAAAAAAGAAAGAAGAAATGAAAGCATATATCCCTATATGAAGACTTGCACACAAATGTTCATTGTAGCTTTAATTTAAATATCAGTATCTATAACCAACCAAATATTCATCAAAATGTATAAAAATTATCAAACTGTGGGATACTACTCAGCAAGAAACATGAATACATCTTTAATATACCCAGTTACATGGATATATCTCTATGGAGATACATTGATAAAAAGAAGCCAGATTCAAAAGGGAATATACTGTGTGATTTAATTTACATATAATTCTCAAAAATGTCAATTAATCTATTTTGACAAGAAAAAGATCAGTGGTTGCTTGAAAACAGAAAGGGAAGGCAGGAATGAATTACAAAGTGATACTGAAAACTTTTACAGGTGACAGATATACTCATTATCTCGATTGTAGTGAAGGTCTCATGGTGTATACATGTCAAAATATCAAATTTATCAAATTTTATACTTGATGTGAATTTTACTGTATGTCAGTTATGCTTCAATATGGCTTTAAAAAAGAAAGCAAGAATATAGATAAGTGATCAAGGCAGATTAAAATTCTGAATTAATTATCATGTGGGATGAAACTTGCATCAGATTAAAATATATATTTAATGTACAATTATTATTATTATTCCTTGCACAGGGGCCATGCTAATCTTCTCTGTATCGTTCAGAGAGGTTTAGCAGTGTTCCCGGGATCACACAGCTAGTTAGTGGTAGGACTGAGATAAAGGACTCGGTGTTTCACATTCCCAGTGACATTAGGGAGTGGCAAGGACTTTAGCAAACCGAAGCTATCGGTCCCACCTGTAGACTGCTAACAGCTCCAGCTGATGCCTGGGTGCCGGTTGTTGGTAAGTCCTCAGAGTTTTTAAAAGACAGAGGTCATAAATCCAGAGTTTTCATGTGACCTCCCCTGATTGCTATGCAGAGGCGCTTGACTGAAGTCTTTTTCTTCTTTTCGAACACCATGAGGCTAAGACATGGTGAACTAGATTTGGTTCATCTGCCTGACCTATTATAACATCTGACTTCTTGTTAAGAAAAACAAAACAGAAAGTTGAATACAAGCCAGTAATAAATCTGCACTAAGCGATGTGGCTCTGGCAGAGAAGGGCAAGTTGGGATTAGGCACAGCAGCCAGAGAAGGTTTTACTTCATTATTTTATTTATTTTTTAAACAGGTTGTTGCTGCAGGTATGTGTGCATTTGCTGGAGGGAGACGGTGAGAGGGAAAGTGAGAAATCATCCCCCCGAGGGGGTGGGGCAGAGGTGGCCATGCCATAATACTCCCCCTGAGGGGGTGGGGCAGAGGTGGCCATGCCATAATACAGTCTCTATTTTTCTTCTTCTGGGATTTGGGGTATGCATGCACACATGCCTGGCATGAGTTTCAAGCTGCTAGATCTGGTATTCAAACTGCGCTTGGCCATGTAGGAGTCCGGCACCTCAACCACCATGCCCTCTGCTGGCCACTAGAGAAGGGTTTAAGTGGGCTGTGGGGCTGCAGTGAGGTGCCCA